GTTAAAAGCTGTAAAACTTATACTACTTACTTCTGATCAGTAGTCTGTCGTCAAACTAATAATTTACCTGACCGACCAAGTTAAGCCCACATTTCAGCTTCTTTTTCATCATGTTAGAAGATGAGCCTTGACAGAATTGTCTCTAGCCCTCTTATTTTGGTCTTCAAATACTTGTTCTCTGTGGTCACGCCATTCCAATGTATACTACTTATAAACAACTACATGGTGAGTAGCGTTCAACTCAATGGTAATTATAAGAGTGTTTCGTTTAACTTATTTGATCTTCTGCCAACTCACCATTCCACATGACATTAGTTTCTATTCACCATGTTGATATCGTTATTTAAAACAAACATAGATCACTTTTATGATTTACATTAAATACTGTAATTTCGAATGTACTTTTTAACTCGGTGATTTTTTACAATAGGCAAAAAGAAAGTACCATCGCTCAAGATAAATCTTATTGCTTAGTTTTAGGATTATTTTCTGATGTGCAAATCAACTGTTTATTACGTAAACATAATATTTGTGAATGGCGTTTTTAATTCAATAATTTCTAGTTCTATCGTTGATTAGGTTTGTTCTGAGATGCTGAAGAAACTTACTAGCTTAGGTGGATGATTACGGTGGAGTTTCGTTCTCTGAACTCAGTCAGTAAGTCAGTCAGATGCAACGTAGAACTTTGTACGTAAGTACATCAGTTCATGTTGCCATACCACATCAGCACAGAGATGTAATTGTCAATTCAAATCCAGTAGTAGTAGAGGTAGTAAAGGTATTAGCAGTAGTCGGAGCGGTTGTGATTAGAAGATATTATTCAAGAAGTATGATTCAGTGAGATAAGTTTAGAAGAAGATTAGGATTTGAGAGAACACAAAGAATGAATGCACCGGCGTCACTACAAATGGTTTTGAGCCATTTCATTCAGGGTCTCTAATCATCGATTATCATCATCACGCGGACCCCAACCACGTAGTCGACACCTATCGACATAACTCAGTCCACTTGTCAATGACTTCATGGATTGCTGCCATGTTTTGGTCTGGCCGCCCCTACCTTTATTCCAAACTACTCCAATACTACAAAACAAAGCTCGTTGTCTGAACTGGATGTATTGGTTGTGGAACTGACAGGAATGTTCTGCTGAACACAACATAATCAGCTCAGACTTCAGATAGAAGAACTGAAGTATTCGAATTTCTCCATATATGACTCGTAGCTCGTCCTGTTGACCTCGATGTTAATGGGTTGTTATTGACCTTTGACCTGTCGTTGTCTACATCTCTAGGTTCGTTTAGTAATAAAGATCACCATTAGAAACCCGGAAGCATCGCAAGACGGCCTTTTTTTCCTGGTACGAGACACATCGGCAGCGCATATCCATGAATCCCTCTACTCGCGGAAATCGAACCTAGGACCTTCGGTCTTGCGAGCGATAGCCTAACCTCTAGACCACTGAGGTAAACATTAGGACCATCTTTGTGAGGAGGTTTCTCCGAGTTCCAGTGAGAAGTCATAACCATCGGAGTTCAACCATGATCGGGTGTTCACTGAAGATAGAGGATGAGTTTGAGCGAGACCGCGTATTGATCCAAGTTAGCGATTAAAACCGTTACAAACCGGCTCAGTGGTCCGGAGGTTAGTTGTTCATTCGCAAGACCGAAGGTCCTAGGTTCGATTCCTGCGAGTAGAGGGATTCGTGGAAACGCATTGCCGAAGTGTCCCATACCAAGACGGAACGGCCATCCAGTGCTTCCAGGTTTCTAATGGTTTTCTAGCCCGACAGTACTGCTATCTTGACGTGATGGTCGGGTTTACCTATCGTGATGACCAAACGGAGCCATACTGACTGGAACATTTGTTGCTGTAGGTCCTACAATGCCCGGCAGATCGATTCGAGAATGATGAGACTAAAAGCAGCAACTCAAGGGCGAAGTCGTATTGTTGATTGTAAAGGGGTGTGACAGTAGCAAGGTGTTTCCTTTGGACAACCAGCATCTACAGCGATGCTGCCTTCTCACAAGGAAGGAAGGGTTAGAAAAGGTCGACCCTAAAAATGTCACACCTCACGGTAAGGGTGTCCATCAAAGGCTTTTAAGAGCGGAGTTAATACTCAAAAAACCTTTAATAAAAAGGCCGTGCATGACCGGCATGAAGTAGTTGTCCCTTGGGCTCTGCAGTCACGCTCAAAGGTCTCTAAGACCAACACTAATCCATCTTCCTTTTCAGTTCCCTCAAGAAACCAGCCGGAGAGTGACAACCGCCCTCATACCCGTAACACCACACGAGACAAAATTGTTCAAAATCAAATCCTTCCTACACCCACACATACCTGTCTTCTCTCCACAACTAACTCTTCTCACATTCCTTCATCTCACTGCACAGCTAATGCAAACAACGCGAGTTCACGAAACGTCATTTCTGGTCTCCTGAAACCCCGTTCTAGACTACATGTTGGAGCTTTTAATGTACGGACATATTGTCAAATAGGGCATCATGCTTCCTTAGCTAGGACATTAGAATCTCGTGCCATCGATGCATGGTGCGTCTCGGAAACGCGCATCGAGGATCCCAGTAAAGTTATTGATTTGATTTCACCTTATCAAAACAAAGAAGCAGCCCGATTTACTCTTCGTGTATCTGGTAGCCCTGATGCTGCTTCCCGTGGTCTCACTGGTGTAGGCATAGCATTGAGTCGTATGGCAGAACTAGCGCTCCTAGAATTGATATCAGTAGACAGTCGCTTGTGCGCTGTCCGACTAGACGGGACTTGATATGATAGGGTCACTCACCGTTGCCTCTTCGCTGTATCCACCTACGCTCCCACTGACTGCAGTTCAGACGAGGTGGAGGATGATTTTTATATAAAGCTTTCAGGCCTCCTCCAAATAGTGATAGTGACTGGTGATTTCAATGCTTAAGTAGGTAGACTAAGAGAAAAGGAAAGATACCTGGGTGGATCTCATGGTATCACGATCAGACAATGGCGACAATCTGCTGCAACTATGGTCAGATAACCGCCTATTTCTGGCCAATACTAACTTTAAGCACAAGAGGAAACACCATTTTACATAGAGATCCCCATAGCTGACCCAACGCTGAACCGAGCTGGATCACATCACTATCAGCCACCGATGGAGGTGTTCGATAGAGGCTCTGAACATGACGAAGAGCAAAATCAGCTTAAGCACAGACTGATAATAATCGTACGCAATGATCGCGAACAGTAGTGGGTAGAGAAAGCAAGAGAGATGGAAAAGGCAGCTGTGATAGGTAACAGTAGAAAAGTGTTCAGAAATCATGGAAACTACTATTAGGAATCCGAATGTGAGTGAGACTATTTCGGAAAAGGATGGTCTCATTATTCATTCTCAATCCACGAGATTGTATCGATGGGTAGAACACTCAACGGATTAGTTCAATTGGCCTTTAGCCACACTTCAGTTGACCACGATCCCCAGTCAACCTGTATTTTGGGACATGTGTTACGAATACCCAATCACCGACTGCTTCGTCGATGTAGGAATAGTTCAGAAAAAAGCTAGAGGCGGTAAAAACAAAACATGGCAGAAATCCATAAAATCACTGACAAGTGGACTGTCATGTTGGTAGATTTAGACTAGCTGGTTGGGGTCCACGAGACGATAGACATGTACAACCCATTTGAAACGATAATAACCAATGAGATCAATTCAGAGTTGGATACAAATTAATTCTTTTTTAATAAGTAATTCTATGTATACTCACAATTTGTCGATAAAATGACATTACGGAATAATGAATGATCTTAGTAATTTCAGTCATACCATATAAGCACATAGAGAGATGGAATTGCCTATTCAAATCCTATAGTGGTGGAGTGAGAGCCTATAGCGAGCTGTCATCAGAATTGATTACCTCGAGTGGTGTCCATCAGGACTGTACACTTTTGTCCGTCCTTGTTAAACTTGGTCACTGACATGGTTTTACGGACGACACTTTGATCGTCTGAGTTCTCAGTTGACCTTTTACAAGGAGGTTCACTTGTTAACTTAGAATATACCGACGACAGTGTTCTCTGTGGTGAAGACGCTAAAAAAATGTAGTCTTCTGAACACCTTAGGCAACAATACAAGCATATTTGGTGATATGCTCGAAACTATTACGAGTTCACCTTACTCGACAAACGGAACGAAGATCAACGATGCAGTGACACGACAGGCTATTCTAATTCGATTGTTGTTAGGATATTCATCCGATATCTTAAAAGAATTACTGGTCTATTCCTACTGGGCAATTTTATGGTCGTCCTAGATATCAATGTCATGTGCTCCAATGTTGTTTATTATTGGCTGTCCTGACTATCAATGTGACAGAATTCAATGCTGTTTCCTATTCGACCAAAATGTATAAATACGCATTATCTGTAACATTTTATGACCACTACCAGGACCCAGTCCCGGATCCTGTTTCTCTTCTGGATTCGGACCTCGTACTTTCTGGATGCTTGTAGAATACAGGTTCTACTTCATATCAAGTCTTCTTATTTTTACTCAATGTGGGTTGGGATAATCGGACTTGAGTAGTATGTTGTGTCGCCGGATCCTCGCTCTCGTTTTTCGACTAGGTAAACTCGTAATAGTTCAAGTATATCAAGTTGACGTGTTTACGTGCAGGCGTAACAATTGTCTCAGGCCCCACTAACTACAGTAAGAAGTCTTGACAAGAGAAGGTATTTCACAGGCACCCATAAGGTAAGAGGAGTTCAACAAGCACACAACCCAAGCTTATTTATATAATGATAACGCCCTTGGTGAAAGCCACAAACTAGAGCGTACTAAAATAATCTATCAACCAATGACAGTTAAGGATTTTCCGAAAGGGGAAATGTCAGCCGAAGATCAACTACCCATAAGTTTCATTGATTGGTTGGTGCTACTAAAACTGTTCGTTTCGTCTCCAACAGTTTGTCTTACCAATAGTTGAGTCATCAGACAGTCTATGCCAAATTCATTCGAGAAAGATTTTATTTGGAATCTAATTGATAGCAAGGAAACAATAGCGTTCAACAGATTACATAAATTTATTATGAACGCCAAAACACATTTCGAAATGTACAAAACTAAAAAACAAACAACTTTTCGTTGAAATAAACTTGAAATTATTTAAATTAAATGAATAATCTGTTTACAAAATAAACAAATAGAGAAGCAAATCACTCAGATTTTGACTTGACTTGAGTTGATGATGATGATGATGACGATGACTAAAATAAGAAGAAAAATTAGATTTAACTAATCGAAATAATTGACTAACCTGACAAGTATCAGTTAAATTATTTTCTGTAACATCATTCAATTGTTCCTTTAGTAAAACACGGTAGTAGAACGGAAGACATAGAAAAAGCAAAAGGGTTATGAGATAGAAAAAAAATTTAGTAACATAAACAGTTTAAAATTTATGAAAAGCAATTGATACAATCAAGGCAATAAAAACTGTTAGGTGAGATCAAAAACTTACTCCTTTCAAATATATATATGGCTGTGAAACATGGCCAGTGAGAGTAGAAGATATTCGTAGGTTATTGGTTTTCGACCATAGGTGTCTTCGAACCGTTGCTCGTATATCGTGGGACAACCGAGTAAGCAATGCTGTCGTTAGGAAACGAGTACTAGGTAAGGATGGCAGATCAATCGATGAAGTGGTGAAACTTCATAAGTTGAGGTGGTTGGGACATGTGTTGCGTATGCCGAACCACCGACTGCCTCGACGAGCTTTGTTTTGTAGTGTAGGAATACGTTGGAAGAAAGTTAGGGGCGGCCAAACCAAAACATGGCAGAAATCCATGAAGTCATTGACGAGTGGACTGAGCCATGTCGGTAATTGTCAACTATCTGGTTGGGGTCCGCGAGATGATAATAATCGATGGTTAGAGACCTTGAATGACATGGCTCAAAATCGTTCGCAATGGCGCCGGTGCATTTATTCTTTGTGTTCTCTCTAAACCTAATCTTCTGGATTCTTCAACACCTCTAGTTTTATCCTTCTAAACTTTTCTCACTGAATCATACTTCTTGAATAATATCTTCTAATCCTAACCTCTTCGATTACTTCTAATACCTTTGCGACCTCTTTTACTATTGGATTTGAATTGACAATTACATCTCTGTGCTGATGTGGTATGGCGACATGAACTGATGTACTTACGTACGAAGTTCTACGTTACATCTGACTGACTTCAAATATATATAGGATTTTCGAAAATAAACCTATCCTATCGCTGTTATAATTGTTTAACGGATTGTATTACACAGCGAAGTGATTAAAATTAAGGACGTAATCAAATAGTGTCGTTACGGTGCGAAGACTTGAAAGTTAAGCGATTGATTTATGAACATGTATTGTTCAATACTCCACGAGTTTAGTCCTTTTATCGATGAATTCGAGGCTCATAATGAAACTTAACAACATAAATCATGAGCGAACGTGAAAACGATTTCAGATTTGAACTGTCATTTGTCTTACAATTACAATTCATTAGTTCTTTTGAGTACAAAATATGAATGAGTACATACTAAACATTGGATAGGGAAAATTTTTTTAAACTAAGGATGCACTAGAGTTATTGTGACGGTATTTTAGTACGATAGTCAATCAGTCAGTCAGTCAGATGCAACGTAGAACTTTGTACATAAGTACATCAGTTCATGTTGCCATACCACATCAGCACAGAGAAGTAATTGTCAATTCAAATCCAATAGTAGAAGAGGTAGTAAGGGAATTAGAAATAATCGGAGAGGTTAGGATTAGAAGATACTATTCAAGAAGTATGATTCAGTGAGATAAGTTTAGAGAGTCGAAACTAGAGGTGTTGAAGAATCCAAAAGATTAGCATTTGAGAGAACACAGAGAATAAATGCACCGGCGCCATTGCGAACGATTTTGAGCCATGTCATTCAAGGTCTCTAACCATCGATTATTATCATCTCGCGCACCCCAACCAGGTAGTCGACAATTACCAACATGGCTCAGTCCACTAGTCAATGACTTCATGGATTTCTGCCATGTTTTGGTTTGGCCGCCTCTAACTTTCTTCCAACCTATTCCTACACTACAAAACAAGGCTCGACGAGGCAGCCGGTGGTTGGGCATACGCAACACATGTCCCAACCACCTCAACTGGTGAAGTTTCAATACTTCGTCGATTGATCTGCGATTCTTACCTAGCACCCGATTCCTAATAACAGCGTTGCTCACTCGGGTGTCCCACGATATACGAGCAATGCTTCGAAGACACCTATGATCGAAAACCATTAACCTACGAATATCTTCTACTCTCACTGGCCATGTTTCACAGCCATAAAGTAAGACGGAGCGAACTACTGCGCAGTACACTCGTCCTTTAGTCAGCAAACGGATATCTCGCCTACGCCATAAGTGACGCAGGTTGGCAAAAGCCAATCGAGCCTTCTGTATCCGTGCCGAGATTTCGTCAGTCACCAGGCCATCAGCACTGATGAGACTCCCAAGATAAGTGAAGCGGTCTACACGTTCGACTACTTCACTCCCTATCATTAGTTCAGGTGCCGATGCAACCCAATCTTGAAGCAACATTTTGCATTTCGAGGGGGAAAATCGCAACCCGAACATGCTTGCATTGTTGCTTAGGGTAGTCAGAAGACTCTGCATTTTGTCAGCGTCTTCACCAAGTAGGACAATGTCATCGGCATATTCTAAGTCAATAAGCGAGCCACCTGGTAGAAGTTCTACTCCTGAAAATTCAGACGAGGATAATGTTATGTCTAGGAGCATGTCTATGATAAAATTAAACAAGAACGGAGAAAGTGGACATCCCTGACGGACACCACTTGATGTAGAGAATTCCGTTGACAGTTCGCCATAAGCCCTCACTCGACCAGTGGTGTTCGAGTAAAGAGCTTGTATAAGGTTAATGTACTTCTGTGGTACACCTTTCAATGACAGACACTGCCACAGAACCTTACGATCCACTGAGTCAAATGCCGCCTTAAGGTCTAGGAAAACAACTATTGTAGGACGCCTAAATGTGTGTCTATGTTCCAGGACCTGTCTGAGTGTGAAGACGTGGTCTATACAACCACGTCCTA